CATTAAGGTAAACATCACAGCAGGGAAACAATTAACATTGACTTTGTTCACATTCTATATACTGGTAAGTTTAGATAAGTTGGATTTGTCTGTGAATTAGTAGTGTGTTTGCCTTATGTCAATAAAAGTCAACAAAAACATTTTTAGGCCAAAAATTACAAATAGATAATGAAGATATCAAGTATAAAACCAATAGAGTTAACAGTTATCAAGAAAAAGTGGAAAGCATGCATATTTCAAGAATGTAAATATGTAAAATCATAGAAGGTCAAAGTTCATTGCTTACTTATATTCTGAATTCCATGCCACTGATTGATGCACAATCCTTCAAAACCATAACGAAACGGTGATATATATTCTAACCATACTAAATACCAGGGTATTGAACTGTAGAGAAAATAACTCACAATTATACAAAATATAGCATATAGAACTTGATGCAACATCATTCATACAGTTTTATCTCTGGTTTTTATTTGTTTATTAATTTGTAAAAATAAACAAGCCATGCATGGCACAGTCCCTGTTAGTTATCAAATTTAAGATATATAGTTTTGTTTATAGTAATATAGTTGGAACATATAAACATGTCAGAGATATGGATCCAGAAGCTGATGCCTGATTATGATGATTTTTTAACATTAAAATTGTTGACATTCAGTCATCTTGTATCTGATCATCAAATGAGTACTTTTCCATACTGATCGAGTGATATTGCTCTGGGACAGCAATAGTTAAAACAAAATGGCCACCAGTCGGCCATTTTGAATATAAAATTTAAACATAATATCAGTCAAAGCATGTCAGAGATATGGCTCTAGAACTACATTCATTAAAACAATATGGCTGCCAGTTAGCCATTTTAAATCAGTCTCGAAAACAAAATTACGTGCATCAAGAACCAATAATGTCTAATGTATGTACCAAGTTTGAACAAAATCCATCCATGAAGGAACGAGAACAGGTTCTGAAATGCCAGAAATGCTTGATTTTTGATAATTTTGTAGTAGAAAAATGGTAATCATTCGGCCATTTTGAATCAAATGGTCAAACCAATACATTTGTATATCTATCACATAATGAATAATGAATATATAAAATTTGAACTTAAAATATGGCTCTAGAACCACATTCATTAAAACAAAATGGCTGCCAGTTAGCTATTTTAAATCTGTCTTGAAAACAAAATTACGTGCATCAAGAACCAATAATTTATAATGTATGTACCAAGTTTGAACAAAATCCATCCATAAAGGATCGAGAACCGGTTTTGAAATGCTAGAAATGCTCGACTTTGTACTAGAAAAATGGCCACCATTCGGCCATTTTGAATCAAGTGTTCAAACCAACACATTTGTACATCTATCACATAATGAATATATAAAATTTGAACTTAATCAGTCAAAGCATGTCAGATATATGGCTCTAGAACCACATTCATTAAAACAAAACGGCCGCCAGTCAGTCACTTTGAATCTGATCAGAATAACAAAATGACTTGCATCAAGGTGCCACATTGTCCAATGTATGTACCAAGTTTAAACAAAATTCATCAGTAAACAGCCAAGATCCAGTTCTGGAATGCCAGAAGTGCTTGATTTTTGATGATTTTGTAGTAGGAAAATGGCCACTATTCGGCCATTTTGAATCAAATGTTCAAACCAATACATTTGTATATCTATCACATAATGAATAATGAATATATGAAATCTGTCAAAGCATGTCAGAGATGAACAAAATTTATCGGTAAACAGCCAAGATCCGGTTCCGGAATGCCAGAAATGCTTGATTTCAGTACAAAAATGGCAGTCATTCGGCCATCTTCAATCAGATTGTGAAACAAATTGATGTGCATATGTATAATTTTATGAATGATGTATGTGTGAAGTTTGAATGTAATTGGTCCAGGCATGTCTAAGATATAGGTCTGAACAGGGACTAAAAATAGACATAAACATATCTTTGAGATGCATCCATTAGATAAATAGTGAATTTTCACATCATATGTGAAGACTAAAGATGCCCAACTGGGTTTTGGTTTTTTGACAAATTTTGGTAAATTAGTCTTCATATACAGGTTTGAACATTATTTGAAAAATCTGAAATCTACTTCTGTGACTTGACAATTGAAATTTTCACAAGAATTACATAACATTGATTGTTTGTGTGCAAGTGTATATATTAAATGTACTTACTTTACATTAATGTAGAAGCCACCTACAACATACAAAGAAATGTTGACCATTACTGCAACCACTGATGCTACAAATATTGTAGGACAGAAGCACGATATAGTTATTCCTGTCAACAAAGAAATTAATATGTCAAATCATTAAAGGCCACCACCTACCAAATGCTGCTTTCTGACCAATCAAAATGACAAAAAGACAAGCCATGAATGGCACAGTCCCCATTAGCTATCAAATTTAAGATATATAGTTTTGTTTATAGTAATATAGCTGGAATATAACCATGTCAGGAATATGATTATGATAATTGTTTAACATTAAAATGATTGACATTTGTATCTGATTGTCAAACAAGTACTTGTCCATATTGGGAGATATTGCTCTGGAACAGCATTGATTAAAACAAAAACCGGCCATTTTGAATACATGTATATATCTATAACATGATGTATAACGAATATATAAAATTTGAATATAATCAGTCAAAGCATGTCAGAGATATGGCTCTAGAAGCCTAATCACTAAAACAAAATGGCCGCCAGTCAGCCATTTTGAATCTGATCTGAAAAGTAAAATGATGTGCATCAGGAACCCGTAATGTCTAATGTTTGTACAAGTTTGAACAAAATCCATTCATAAATGCCAGAAATGCTTGATATTTAATGATTTTTTTATTACAAAAATGGCCACCATTGGGCCATTTATAATGGGACTGTCAAACCAATATATCTGTATATCTATGACATGATGTATAATGAATATTAAAAATTTGAACATAATCAGTCAAAGCAAGTCAGAGATATGGGTCTAGAAGCCCATTTATTAAAACAAAATAGCTGCCAGTCAGCCATTTTGAATCCGATCTGACAAATAAAATTGTTTGCATCAAGGTCCCATAATGTCTAATGTATATACCAAGTTTGAACAAAATCTATACCTAGTTAAACAGCAGAGAAATGCATGATTTTGATGATACAGGTCCGACACACGCACGGAAGCACAGACGCAAAAGGGTCAAAACATAAGTCCCAGTTTTCGGACTGCATCTGAATGGGGACTAAAAAAGATCCGATTTTTAAAATGATACATCACATCAAGGCTTCATTGACAAATGTTTATGGAAGTATGGGTGGAAGGTGATTTAAATTACTGCGCACAAATTCCACACTGTGTTGCTTTACTGTGAAATACTTTATTTTAGCTGCAATAAATTTTCGCTGAAAAAGCTTTTTGGGTGTTTTGTATGGAATTTATTTTCACTGATTTTTGATGAATTGAATGTGAGACATAGGAAAAAAGAATATTCGCTGGATTTTATTTTCACTGAAGCATTCCTTCAGCGAAAATAGCAAAAATAAATTCCAAGCAAAAATAAAGTATTCTACAGTAGTTTGTTGCATTTATTTTGTACTATTTTGCAATAGAGGAATGAATGTTTAACAAAAAGAATTACATTTGTCCACATTAACATACCCAGCATATACTTACCAATGGCTGTTAATGCATCCGTAATCATAACACACAGCAACACACAAATCAAATATCTTTCAATAAGTGGAGTTAGACCTGGCGATGATCAACGAAATGTAAAAAAAAAATTGTTTCCTAAATATCACTGAAGTTCTACAATTTTCACCAAAAATATAATATTTATAATTTCTTAATATGGTGATTAATTCGCAATAGATGAAGGAGTTTGATTTCTGGTAACTAATCAAATTAAAAACTATAACTAATCAAAACTGTTGATATTCATATTTTAACAGTTTAGTGGATGACTATCAATAAATATAGATTAATGTGAAGATAGTGTAACAATCTGTAATTGTTATATAATTGGAATTCAAATTTCCTAATATTGTAATGGGGTACATGCCAAGTATATGATAATTTGAGACTATATTATGAGGGGATGGTACAGCAAGTGTGTATAGACTGGTGTACAGGATAATTGACATGAGCGTATACTGTCAGAGTGTATACTGTCAGAGCCTATACTGTCAGAGCCTATACTGTCAGAGCCTATACTGTCAGAGCATATACTGTCAGAGCATATACTTTCAGAGCATATACTGTCAGAGCCTATACTGTCAGAGCGTATACTGTCAGAGAGTATACTGTCAGAGCCTATACTGTCAGAGCGTATACTGTCAGAGCGTATACTGTCAGAGCCTATACTGTCAGAGCCTATACTGTCAGAGCCTATACTGTCAGAGCATATACTGTCGGAGCCTATACTGTCAGAGCGTATACTGTCAGAGCCTATACTGTCAGAGCGTATACTGTCAGAGCCTATACTGTCTGAGCGTATACTGTCAGAGCGTATACTGTCAGAGCGTATACTGTCAGAGCCTATACTGTCAGAGCCTATACTGTCAGAGCGTATACTGTCAGAGCCTATACTGTCAGAGCGTATACTGTCAGAGCGTATACTGTCAGAGAGTATACTTCAGAGCGTATACTGTCAGAGCCTATACTGTCAGAGAGTATACTGTCAGAGCGTATAATGTCAGATCCTATACTGTCAGAGAGTATACTGTCAGAGCGTATACTGTCAGAGCCTATACTGTCAGAGCGTATACTTTCAGAACATATACTGTCAGAGCCTATACTGTCAGAGCCTATACTGTCAGAGCGTATACTTTCAGAGCATATACTGTCAGAGCGTATACTGTCAGAGCGTATACTGTCAGAGTGTATACTGTCAGAGTGTATACTGTCAGAGCGTATACTGTCAGAGCCTATACTGTCAGATCCTATACTGTCAGAGCGTATACTGTCAGAGCATATACTGTCAGAGCATATACTGTCAGAGCATATACTGTCAGAGCGTATACTGTCAGAGCGTATACTGTCAGAGCCTATACTGTCAGAGCCTATACTGTCAGAACATATACTGTCAGAGTGTATACTGTCAGAGAGCTTACTCTGTGGTATCTTCCTCATTAAATTGCTTGATGTAAGTAATCAAGAACTGAATAAAATTAATTTGAACTACTTTTCTAAAACTGTGCCTTGCATACTTTTAATTATTTTCATTTTCCAATATGATACAAGGCAGAGTATACCCCATGCCAATATAAAAAATATATTGAGTGATATCAGAGGTACATTACTTGGGGTTTGCAATGTGCATAGTACTGTATGGGGACATCATGCCAAGATTCCATTCAAGTCTCATCTCGTAGATAGCGAGACTGATGCTACGACCTTCTGACATGACATTGGCGGTTTGTAATAAAACAATAAAACATGTATTACCACATTCATAGTAAAAACATGTAATACATCGAAAATGTACAGAAAATATAGTTATCGTAATCCGTCATATCGTGGGCAACTATTTTGATCCACCTGGACATCTCAGTATCCTAGTTACTTTGAACATGCGCATTCGCATTTTTCTGAGTTGGAACGCTTATGCGAGAGCGAGACTGAAACGGTATCTTGGTATCATGTCACCGTAGTTCCAAACTCCAAGTATTATACATTGTACCTCTAGTGATATTTAATATTACAATTTGTAATGAAATCCTAATACTTTATAATAACCGTGTAATAAAGTGTACCATCAACAGCCATGCATAGTGTTCAGACTGTACTGACCCATTATCCAATATAAAAATGTTGTGTACAACACTGAAATGGTGAAGAAAGCTGGAATCTGTAAAAAAAAAAAGCATTATTGAGAGAGTATAACCTAAGTTAGAAAAGCATAATTAAACTAATAAAGACTTGAAAATGACATTAATTCCCTGTCATTAATTTAGTGTTCTTGACATTCAGCATCATACATTTACCCAGCATGCACTATACAACACATTTCAGCTCAAGCACAGGTGGTCTAGGTATGAGGTAAAATATGATGTAAGCATACAATAAATCAAACAAAAGAAATAATATAATTTTGATGTGCATAATTTAATAACATACTTGTATTTTCACTGTCATTTATTCTTATATTTGTATTAATATATGTGTCATGGTCTAACTTATGGAGAGGAAGGCAGACATTCATAGAGAGAGATACGCATGGACACCTCAAGCAGTGAAACAAAACAAAAATGTTGAAATGATGTTTTTTGGTGAATGAATATGATTACAAGCATCAAAATGAAAAACATGTCTTTTTTCCTACTTTGAACAACTGGTAGAAGTGTATCAGAGAAGTTTTAAGTTTCATATGAAACCTTTTAGGAAGACTAACTTGTGACATTCAGATTGTAAATAGAAATATTATTCACATAATTTTCAAATACCTGTGATAGAATCTTAGTCAAGAAATATACATCAATACGATACATTCCACTATTGTTTTCTTTCGTGAAAATTGGCATTTCACCCTGAACAGCCTGGAATAAAACAGAGCACAGAGCCATTATTAGAAGGGTTTCATCCATAAAATACACAATTATCACACCAACAGTACCTTTGCTATTGCATCTAATCACTAAGAACTGGGCAATGGTTTTGATGGCTATACTATACTTACTCGTAGAACTGGTCCGAAAGCTTCACCACTACCACCCCACATCAGACCAAACAAGGAACCTGTAATATTCATTATCCCACTCTGATTATATTCTAGTTGAAAATATGAAAGACCCATAACGAGTGCCAGAAACTGAAAGGCAATCAGGTTGAAATAATTAGATTTAAAAAATTGTTACATTCAAAAACTGCTCCAGTAAAAATAAAAGTTCAAACATCATTTTAAACGGTTGTTTCACTATGGTACATCTATGCTAGCTGTTGTTTTCTCACTGTGAACTAAAATATTTCAGTTAGTGTCTTTGGTGTAATTGTATCTATTTCGTTTTCACTTATTCATATTAGAGCAGTGAAAATTATATCATTTTCTTGCATCTTCTGAGTTAATAAATCTATTACGGGCAGCTGACATTGACAATAACTATATTATGTCAATGTAACAATATTGTGATCCATAATACCGGTACTCACTTTTCACGTAACATTGTTTCTAGTTATCACAAATAAATACATTACATAATCTCAGTAGTCATAAAATTAAGGAAATATAGACAGTATGAACTGTCAGAGCGTGTCAGGGATCCAGCTCAAGAATTGCACAACTGGTAGCATAGTGGTTGTCGCATCAGACTCATGATCGGTAGACCCAAGTTCAAATCATACCTTAGGCTGAACATCAAAAGGGTCGACCCCTACCCTGGGTGAGAGTACCACAGACTCAATGGGATGGCCGATTCCACTGGCCAAGATTCATTCACTAACGAATGCGACTTTAAGGTCCGCAGGTGCTTGTGTTCGACCGGGCCTGGTTGACGCCAGGATAGCGCATTAGAAATTGCCATTTGACAGAGAGATGGCCACACAGCCCTGTCATGTAGTCCCAAACATGAATATGACTTCTGTGGCAAAATGCACTATGTGTCGTCACTAGCACTTGCAATTTGCACTTACAAAAAAAAAAAGTCAGGAGAGACAACAGAGACACTGAATGTCCGGAACTGTCGCCTGGCACAAAAAATATTTAAAAAAAAAAAAAAAAAAGAACTGTCAGAGCGTGTCAGGGATTCAGCTCAGGAATTGCACAAATTCCTGATTTTTGATATTAAAATGATCAACATTTGGCGATAATGAATGAGATCAAAAAACACATAGATGTGCATATGTGCAATGTATAACATATGACAGATATATAAAGATGAAGGCACGTCACACTATTGGTGTGTGACCATTAGATTCTGCAATTAGCTGTCATTTACAATATTTCAAAGAATGCATCCAAACGAATGACTAATTATTGTCATACTATCACCTCAGTAGACCATTCCCATTGACCATGCAGCTGAGCAAAGCCATGCTGAACGCATTTCTGAACTGAGAGTGACAAACAAAAATGCCATTTAAAATTTGAATTTGAAACAATTACTGAACAGCAGAAAATAACGTACAGTTCACTGTCCTGGTTTGGATTGGAAAGCAACCGTGCAGGAACACATTGTTAATGTGTAGAATTCCTGAATTGATTTATTTGTTTATGTGTTTGCACATAATGCATGACCTGAGATCAACAAACCGAAAGGTACACAGTACAGTAGATGACCTGAGGCCACTATTACCCGGTATTAGTAGTAGTCTAATATCTCGACGTCACAAATGCATGAACTAACTTTATGATAGTCACTTTTCAAACAGAGTCCAAATTTTACTAATGCGTGCAAAGTACGCACAAATCTGATTAATATGGTGCCCTAAATCACCATCAGTTTCAAAACGGACTCGATGATTACAAACTGAGTAAAATTAACGAGTAAAAATGCCTTCATGGGGGGCCTTCTAAAGTGTAAACAGAATCGGATGTTGATGATGATGATAAGAAGTCAAACAAGATATTGTATGAACGATCTGTAAGATAGGAAGTGAATCATTGTAGAACTGTACCTGTAATATCAAAACAATGTTGAAGACACTGAATAAAAATAGAGTGATCCGGGGTATCAAATGTGGCAAAAAGATTGAGCATGACCAACGTCATTTTTAATGTTAAACAAAGTATAGGTCGAGGAAGCTGAAAAACCCAAGAACAAACACATACCAAAAATACTTACCATTGCACCACCAAATCTGGCTCTGGTGACATTGGGTTCCCTGGTAGACACCAACCAGCTTCTCCATAACAAGGCATTGAATTGAGGCCACCAGCCATTCTTATACCTATAATGGTGAAAAACAGATTGCTGTTATGGATCCTGCTATAGCAGATGCGGTGTATCCTGCAGCCGTACTTTCACGAGCTTCGCTGTTAGCAATGCATATTTCAATTAAAGAACAGAAGATATCATTAGAAAATGAACAATACTGTATGTATAGTATCAAAGCAATCGGACAACAAGAATTCAAAAATATCACTTTTCACCAAAAATGACAAAAATATTCATCAAAATTAGATAATTGAAGATATCATCACAAAATGAACAAATCTGAGAGAGGTACACATGTAGTACCTATATGTATAATATCATAAAGCAATTGGACTTGTGGTTTTCAACAAGAAATCGAAAATATCACTTTTTACCAAAAATGACAAAAATATTCACCAAAATTAGAGAATTAAAGATATCATCACAAAATGAACAAATCTGAGAGAGGTCTACCCAAGGTACATATACACCAAGTATCAAAGCATTCAGACTTGTTGTTTTCAAGAAGAAGTCAAATAAGGAAAAACATTGAAACGGACGGCAGACGACGAACGCTGGACAATCACTCATATGATAAGCTCTGCTTGACAAAGTTGACAGCGGAGCTAAAGAAAACTATTTAATTCAAGATGACATATTTAATTTGACCTTTTGATTTTCAATCCTAACCAGCTATCTACAGATTCTAATTTTAATATAGACATGTATAAAAGATACACACTGTACCTGCATCCACTTTGTAGTTTTACCTCTTCTGTATCTCGCTGCAAAAAAAAACAAGTCAATTATCAATATTCTACATATGACACATATATTCTTAAATCTTCATTCAGCATCACCCAAAGACAGTCTCAGTATAGTCTTGTTTTCATATAACTGGATTTCTTACCTCATGTACTACATTTATAGTTGATAGAACGTTGGCAGTAGTTTCTGCATAGCTGGATTTGGCATAGTTGCTGCATAGCAACTGTAAACAAAAATCAAGAAAAAATTTATTCTTTTTCAAAGATTACAATGTTATGTCAAATTTATATATCTATAGCAAAAAAGTTTATCCTGTTCAAGTGAACAACATGAGTGACCATCAAAATGTGTCATTATCATACTGAAATGACACAAAGATAGAACCACAGTAATTGTCATCATATTTGATGGGGACTAGAGGAGATGATAGCAATTGTATCATCAATAAACTTAAACTTTTAGATATATGTGGCTGTTTTGTCGTATAGCTATGACTTTAGATATATGTGGCTGTTTTGTCGTATAGCTATGACTTTAGATATATGTGGCTGTTTTGTCGTATAGCTATGACTGCAATGACATCTTCATTTTCTCCAGCTTGTACAACTCCCATATCTAACTCCTATACATATATCTAACTCTCTCCCAAGTCCTAACCCCCCCCCCCCAACTTACACACACCCTATATAGTTACAAATAATTATACTTAACCTGAATTCGTTCTGTATCCTCAGCCAAAGAATCCATCCGACAAGATAACAAGATCAGAAAGTAATCCATTGGGGAATAATCTTCTGGACATCTGAATCCCTGATTGGCAAAGTAATTGACAGCTTCCGCAGATGATCCAAAATAAACAACACTGCCCTCACACAACAAGTATAGTCTATAGAAATACAGTTTTTTAATCTTTATTAACTTTTTAACTTTTTAAATAAATACATTTTTAACAAAATAGATATAATTTCCTGTTAGCTGAAGGTTTGACAATAATTAAGTTTTGTAAGTGTCAAATGTTGGCTTTCAATGAGTCAACTGCAATCTGCATTTGATGAATAAATATATAAATGAATCAGTATAATCAAATCATAAAAATTAGAAACTTGAATGAATCACTTTTAATCCCATTCAGCCATTGACCTAATATAGTGATTCATAATATGCACATCAACAGTGGATTTGCTTCTGATTAAATTACAATGTTCTCAGTAACTATGGTTACATAATTTGAAGTTGGTTACCTGTCAATCAATAGAAAGGTCTCAGATGATGGTTGATGTACGGTGCATATTACAGTGTGTCCTTTTAATGCTAAATCCTGTAGTTTGGTCACAACAATCTCAGCCATACTACTATCTAGTCCTGTAGTTGGCTCATCAAGAATAAACAGTGGTGGATTTGTAAGAAGCTAATTGGATTAATAAAGATAAACAGTGGTGGATTTGTAAGAAGCTAATTGGATTAATAAAGATAAACAGTGGTGGATTTGTAAGAAGCTAATTGGATTAATAAAGATAAACAGTGGTGCATTTGTAAGAAGCTAATTGAATTAATAAAGATAAACAGTGGTGCATTTGTAAGAAGCTAATTGGATTAATAAAGACAAGTCATTGTCAATGACACATTCCTGTTCCGTTCATATTTGAGTGACATATACATTCAAAGCAGATCATGACCAAAATGCACCTGCATATGTACAACACATTGTACTAAATCTGAACAAAATCCATCCATGCATGACTGAGATCCGGTTCCGGAATTGTGAAAATACGTGATTTTGATGCATTTTCGACCTTAAAATGGCCATCATTCAGCTATTGTTAAGCGGATCATGAAACAAATGCACATATCTATTTGTGACATGATGTACCATGTGTGTGTTAAGTTTGAACTTGATCAATCCAGA